AGACAGGAAACAGCTAAAGACCATTGATGTCAACAATGAGGAGTTACACCAGCCAGTGAAGGCTTTCTTAATTGGTCATGAGGCAGAAAACACTCTGTAAGAGATGAACAGAAAAAAACTGTTCGTGAATTCAGAACCTTGGTTGGGGAAGCCTACATCAGTTCTGCAGTCTACATGCAAGCAAAATTTCCAGTGCACAATTTGCTGTTAAGGTACCTATCTGCCATTGATCCTGCTGTGCAGGGCCATTCACAGACATTTCCTGCCTTGAAGAAAATAGGTGAACTTTTCACAACTGGAATAACAGACACTGAGAAGGATGCATACAGACATGAGGTCTCTGCAGTTCAAACAAACACAAGTCTGCCTCCTACCAAAGTGGGAGAACAGAGTGTACATCTACATGTATATCACTGGGGGACAAAAGTGTTCAAAACACAGAAGTATCCAACACTAAGCAACGTGATCAAGGCATGCCTCAGCATCTTCACAGGTCCTGAAGTACGTGGAGAGATCCTTCTCCACTGTGAATGACCTCATCAGTTCCAAGGCCAATAGACTTGAAGTGGATACATTCTCTCCAATGCAGTATATAAAGTACGAACTGAGCTCAAAGCATACCACAAGCTTACAGTTGTACCATAGAAAGGACGTCATTAAGAGTCCTATAGACAGATCCCTCATCTACCATATGCAGACTGCTAATGGAAGGTACAAGAGGAGGTTGGAGGCAACTAGGACAGAGAAGGAAGCAACTTCCAAGAGAATGAAAGTGGACATTGTCAAACATGGAAACCCATCTGGAAGAAAGACAGCCATTCATAAAACTGCCCAGGATATCAAGAGACGAGGAACGCTTGGTGGGAAAAAATAGTGTCCTATACCTGTAGTGTAAGTATGATTTCCTGGGTCATATGCAGGGCTCCTCCTAGCCTTTAGTCACATTAATTAGGTCTCAAAGTGGCACAGTTTTCTTATAATTGGTGAATTTTCTGACCCTCTCTACAGAGATGCCAACTTGTTTAGTTTAGGCCTACAAATCTCACATTAATCTCAAGCTGTAAACGGGAGAAAATGTCAGGAAAACGTGCCAGAAAATGCCTCATATTGCACCACAGAGCATCTAGAACCCAAAATTTCATCACTGCTTTACACAGACAACTTGTAGTGGCAGTGGAAAGCTGTATGCAGTGCAGTATTGCAAAAGAAATCTTGTTCACATTAACCAGAAACCTACAAGTACCTATGTTATCAGATCTTGTAAGGTACGGATAGAGTCAGAATTGAGCTGACTCCGTGTGGTATCTCTTGAAAAATTGCTCAGGTTTCTGAACAGTGGATAACTACCATACCAGAATGGTTGTCTGCTTTAAGTAGTCCAATAGGGAACCACTGTGTTAAAATTTTTTATTAACTCTGCGGAATTCAGTTACTACTTGTCAGTATAAATGCACCCTTAATGTTGGTATCTGAACTGCACGTGTTGTAATGCAAATTATTACTTGAAGTTGATGCATCTGGTGATGGAATTCCAACAGCACAGCTCTCCATGACTGTAGTATGGGTTCTGTGCACACTCCTTACCAATGTCATTCACCTTCATGTCTGGTGCACATGTAACATTCCCATACGAGCAAAATGAATTGCATGTACATGTATTTCACACCAAACATTCATGTATGTGCACAGCACATGCATGTCACATCTACAGTTTTATTGCGAAGTTCCTTTTTTGTGTCCATGCACAAGGCCCATATAGAGTGTCTATATACCACATAATAGTGTCTAATAATTCAAAAAGACATGACAAAGGGAACACCTGTGGTTAAAGGTCCCCCAAAGATCAGCATGTTAAGCCACATCCAAATAGCTTGGCTACAGTTGACAATAGTACATGCACCTATGCAACCTGCCAGTTAGTGGCTAAATCCATTTCCCATAGACATACACATTACTGTCAGCCACAGCCAAGCAATCAGATACAACATCACACTGGTCCTTGTATTATCGACTCAGTGGGTGGGGGTATCATCAGGTACCACCTGACTCATTGTTGCCTTCTTCCAGGTGTTTCAACCTTAATAGAAAGTCACTACAAAGGTTAGGGCAATCAAGTTGGGGTTGTCCTACTGTGAAGTGACAGAGTGATAGTGATAAAGAAACACAGCCAAGAAAGGAGGAGATGCTTCCCAACTCTGAGGACAAAGTGTAAATGACAGGAAAGAAAACAAGGAAATGCAAGCATAGAGCCCAGAGAATGAGGAGCAGTGAGAATCAGGTGTCTTAGTTGTTGGTAGTACCTGCATCTATTTGGCTCATCTGAGAGTGAGTGAGATTTCCTTAATAGGGCTATGGCAGTGAAAAGGTCGGAGATAACATTCAATCTATTGGTCAACAGATAAGAGGCAATGGATGGTAATGAATGATATTGGAGGGGGGGCAATCAACACTTCTGCTTTCAGCAACATATGTACATGGAACAGTTAGTTCTGAACTGGGGCATTATCTTTGGAGCTGCTAAGCACAATAAACATCTGCTATCAAATTACTACCCAAAATGAACTAAAATGAAATTTATACTGTACATTTGGTTACCAGCTGATATTTCACCTATTAATTTGCTCAGCAAGTGCTGTTTCCTGCTTAAGAGCTCCATGACACTGGAGCCACATGTAATCAAGCAAGCCCTTCACTATGATTACTCTTCTTAACTGTCACATGATTTGTAATGATTTGTTTTTGATCTTGGGGCCTGTTTGTTTTATACAGATCCGGATCTTTATCAGTGATCCCAACTCTTGTTTGTTTCATCCATTGGGCAGAATGTGGTGTTAGTGAACCAACGTTGCATTACTGATCCGGATGTTGATCAGTGACCCCAACACTGGTTTGCTTCATCCATCAGGTGGATTGTGGTATCATTGAACCATGTCGGACCACTGACCACAATCCGGATCAGGGCAAAACAAATAGTCCCTTATTCTTTCAACAAACTTCTGCTTCATTTCTACCACTACTCCCAATACTACGACTTGAGATCAAACTTTGACCTTTTGGTTTCATGCAGTTTCAAACACCAAGGGCAGTTTTTAGGACCAGGGCCAGATTAGTAGCTCTGCTTACTGAAAGTAAATTTACAAAAAGAGTATTTCACAAGTTACCAAGAAATCTAACACACATGTACACACATGCATTAATCCTTCATTAATAAGGACTTGTTATAGGACTGAACACAATATTTCAGTGAGGTTGTGTCAGATAAGAATTGCACTATAATACGTACAGCCACAAACCAAACACTAGCTCTGTCCATTTTCCTTATCATATTACATGTAAAGGCCCGTTCCCAAGGGAGGAAAGGCCTGAAGGGGCGAGGCCCCACAGGCAAGCAGCTGTCCCCTTTGGCAGAATCCGTAACAAAATTATCTATTGTTCTTGTAATGGGTCCCCTGCTCCAAGCTGACAATTGGGCTGTACATGTAGCATTTGCAAAATAAAGAAAAAGATTACCATGAGAAATAGCAGTTAAAATGATGATTTCTTAAATTTCTGTCCCTTTGTTGGTCATTCTGGAGACAGTGGATACTGCTTTGAAATGCAATACTGTCACTATTGTGTATTTTCTGGTCACTCTGAGGCAAAAGTAATGGAATTTTTACAGAGT